ATCACAGTTCACTGTGCAGAGTGAGAACATGTGTGATCACAGTTCACCGTGCAGAGATGGGAGACAGAGACAGGAGCATCCCTAGGAGCTCACATGTGCCTCTGACATACATGCTGTGATAGTCACATACACACAAATGCACACATGCACATACAACTTAAGAGTGTGTGTGCAAATGTATGTATGAGATGTATATGCTTACGTGTATGTGTTCAGAAGCCAGAGGAAGGCATCAAATAGCCTATCATTGCACCTTCTACTTTTTGAGGAGGGGTCTCTCCCTGAACTTGGAGTTCACATTATTTTCAGCAGGTTGGCAACCAGAAATCCATAAGGATCCCCCCTCTCTCCCTCTTTTCTCCCCCAACACCCATATGGGCATACCTAGGATCATTCCTGGCTTCTTACATGAATATTGAGATCTGAATTCGGGTTCTCATGTTTGCATGAGTACACTTAACAATTGAGCCATCTCTCCAGCCTCCAAACATTTTACATGTAGTTTTTCTCAGTAACTGACATTGGAAAGATACTTGAGGGATTGGGTATTTAGCTCAGTGATAGAGCACTTGCTTAGATCCTGGGTTCTGTCCTCAGCTCTGGGGTTGGGGAAAAAGACACAGTACTTGATTGGCTACTATTTCCTAGCCTTAAAGCCAAACCTAAGATTTTTCTATAAAGATATGATTGTCCAATGCAGCCTATTGTGCACATACTTACATATGAACATATAACATATTTTGCTTTAATTCATGCACATATTTCATGGCATCTTGCCTCTTATCACTCATGAGTCATACCAATTAATTCTCTTAGGAAGAGGGTTTTTCTTAATAAGCCAACCAGCACATTGGTAATTTTAGAAGGAAAATACTGAAGAGACACTTGAGTCCTCCATAAAATAAAGGTTGCCTTTTTCCTAGGAAGCAGCGGCAAAGGTGCTTAGACAGGTGCTTCTGAAAGCCGAACCAGCGACCATAATCCAAATAGGAAGGTAAGGGACACCCTACCATGAGTCTTCTCTTAGCTATGATTCCAGATAATGGTTCTAATGATGACGTGAGGAGACTAGCAATCGTGCACACGATTGCCTGGCCTCACAGGCAGAAGGAAGGCAGAACACCACCAGTGGAATGCTAACTGCCGAATTCAGGGTACCGGCTACCTGTGTAGAGGGAGGGGAGGGCGGCATCACTGCATCTGCAGAGTCCTGACTGGGGGTGGGGCTAAAAGAGGGCTCTCAGTCTCTGGTGGTTTCTGGTGTACTTAGAACATTTCATTTGCCAGAACCAAAGAAACTTCTACTTTAAAATATACTTAGGAATGTCAATAAGAATAGCCACCACCATTAAGTTTAACATGGGATATTATATATATATTCTAAACCAGTATGAAACCATAGTTAAGACACAAGTAGGTCAAGAGCATTTGCTATTTTAAGTCGCTTTTTGCTGTTGATGTTGTTGTTCGAGACAGGGTAGCCCAGGCTAGCTTCGAACGCATGGCAATTGTCATGCTTCAACCTCCCAAGTGCCAGAATTACTGGTGTGGGCCACGTGACCAGTCTTCCAATTTTTTTAATGAGTTTATTTTAACCTGTCCAAAAAAAAAAAAAAAAGAAGTATGTAGCACAAATAATAAAAATCCAGAGACAGAATTTGGAGTTCAACCCAAAAACCAGAAAAACAAAGCAGCCAAGCCACTAGAGAAGTCTTCCCTCTACCAAGGCTGAGTGATGGCACACTAGGCAGACTAAGCCTCTCTCTCCTCTAGTGCTGGGATTAAAGGTGTGTGACTCCCCAGTACTGTAAGCCAACACCACCTGAATTTGTTTCTGTATTAGTCTTGTGTAGCCCAGGGTGGCCTTGAACCCACAGAGATCCATCTGCCTCTGTCTCCCAAATCCTGGGATTAAAGATGTGTGTCACCATTACCTGACCTCTGGTGGCCTTAGCTTTGCCTCTGGTCTTCAGGCAAACTTTATTATAATACAAGTAATATACCCCTACACAGTTACAAAGAACAAACTCAGGCCAGGTAGCACTTGTGGTCCCAGCCGCTCAGGAGGCTGAGGCACAAGTTCTTGACCTGAGCCCAGGAGCTCCAGACCAACCTGGGAAACTTAGCAAACTTTATGTCCAACAAAATAAAAAAACAAACATATAATTTTTGAAGTAACTACCACCTGTGCCTAAAAAGCAGTACCCTGCCAGCACCCAGACCCTCCCCATCATGTGTTTGGTCCCATCCACTTCCTCCTCCCTCCCTGAATATCAGCCATTGTTTCTACTTCTGTCAGGGTCATAGTGTCTTCACTGCCTCTGTACCCCAGAAATACACCCTCAGTGACAGGCCAGTCTCATTTCTTTTAAGCTCCTTCCATCCCTTTCCTTTCAGATCAATGTTAAAGAAAGAACTTACAGTTTCCCACAGTCTAGGTTTGCTGACTGCTCACACACAGATCACCAGGCTCCAGGCAGCTGGATCCAGAGGCTCCATCTTCAGCAAGACTATTAGTGTTCGATGGTGTGTACTATCTTATTACATTTCCATCTGAGTCATTAGCAGCCATCCGCAGTCAATTCCTAGTACCTAAAACCTTCCATATCTTTGATTCTTGTCTCCTGTAGCTACATCCAATCTACCCACGAATCATGTTCTTTTCCCTTCCTAATAGGAACCAGCCCACCGTCGTCTTTGTCTGGCCTATGCAATACAAAGTCATTCTTCTCATTTTGTTTCATTTCTAATGGTTGTGCCTTTAAAAGCCCTTACTGAATAACCTGAGTGTGCTTCCAAAGTGAAATCCACAAAACAAGTTTCCTTCCAGAGTCCAATTCTCGTCCCTGTTTTTCTACCCACTTCTCTCTTCCTCCCTCTAGGTAGGTAAACACTTTGAACGAGGTTTGGGTTTGTAATTTCCTTTTTTCTTTTCTTCCTCTAAGAATGCTCCTTTAAGAATGTATTATGTAAGGAGCATAAGCATTCATACTTGTCTCATTGTAGCATGTGCAAGTGGGATTTAACTGTCTTGTGTCAGGTAACATACACCCTAGATACCAAGTATTTGCATTTGTAAATGTTAAAAATAGCCTCCAGGTGTTATTCACAATATTCTAAGCATAAATTTAAAATATCTCTACTTACATTGGGTATCACAATATTTAAAGCACACACTGTGAAGCAGATTCTTCCAAAACCATTAAACATAAACCAGATATGGCAGTTCATGCCGGAAATCCCAGCACTGGGAAGAGCGGGCAGGAGCATGGAGAGCAAGGGCTACCCTGGGTAACACATTTATTCACACGGCCTGTTTTTTGATTTTCTTATCTCACGTATATCCCCACTTTAATATTTGGCCAGATTCGCTGCCCATCAGCCATCTGGAGATGCTTTATTCAAAAGCCTGGGTCTAGGCACCAAGCAGAGGGTCGTGGAGGTGCTCCCCAAGAGCGTGACTGCAGCCTAGCAGTTGGTGCTGTCCGGGCAAAGTGTGCTTTAGCCAACTGTGACGAGTTTGGCTCTCCTCTCCCCGGCTGTCCTGTCCTCTAGACTACTTGGCACTGACAGTTCACAGCTTAAAATTCCAACCCATCATGATGGAAAGCCAGGAAGTGCAAAACTAAGTATGTCTACCTAAAAATGTACAGAGAGTGAGACAGTGGGCACAGTATTTCTGCTTGCTCAGATTACAAGTCTGCATAAAAGATATAAGCAGATCATCACATTTCCTCTTTAATATAAATTTTTAAAACAATCTCCTTACATTGATGCAATTTTAAATATATACTTAAGTTGTATATACTTTTGATTTAGCATAGTTTTTCAAATACATTGAAGTTCTCCTAGCCACATATGCAGTGCTGCACATCTGTAGTCTCAGTACCTGGGCAGTGAAGGCAAGAAGACTGCTGTGAGTTTAAGGCCAGCCTGAACCACAAAGCAATGCCCTGGCTTGAGAAACCAGACAGTTACCTGTCTTTCTAGGTACACGCCTGTAACCCAAGCACTCGGGAAACAGCACTGGCCATAGTTTGAGGCCAACATAGGCTGCACAGCAAGTGGGAAGTCAGTCTGGGCTACTTAGTGAAGTCCTATCTAAAAAGCAAATGTTACATATAAATTAGTATATAGTTTTTATACCACAGTGATGGCTCATTAATGACAAACAAGTAATTCGGTGTGTTGTACTTAATTTCTTCAGTATTATAAATAGATGCATTCTTTTCAAAGCTATGTCTACCATACCCTCTTTATTGATGGAATCACTTACTTATGTGCTACAGACAATGGCTTGGATACTATGGCACCATCTGCATTTCTTAAAAAAGTAAGTAACTGTCTGCCCTGCTGTGCTGACATTTTAAGCTGCTGGAGCTGCAAGGTCTCTGTCCTGCCAGCCATTAGTAACAGTGTCACTAACAGAACAGGCCACTCATTGCCTGCCTGTTTGCAGAGCACTTACTGACCTCAGAGACTTGATGTCTGCTGGTTCCTTAAAGCCCCAAACTCAGAAATAGTGTTACAAAGACCCTCCACTGAAATCCATTAGAACCTCTTCTTATAGTCATTTTCTTTTCAAGTTTAAGAAAAAAATTAGACCACAATAGCACAAATTACTATATTTTATTCACAAATAACTATATGTATAAGGATGTCATGGCCAAAAATTTTTAGAACAATATTTTAGAGATACTTCTGTTATAGTATATAAATTATAAGAGCTAAATGAAGTAAATATCAACTTTCTTTTTTATTTCATACAGGCATTCAGTGTCTTTTAATCACACTTCCCACTCCTCCAGCCATTCCTACACCCCCCAGCCCATTACCCAAAAGAAATTTGTTTTTAAAGATATATTTTCTCTAAGAAAAATTTTAACAGAATTGCCAGCAAATACAAGCTACGATAAAGTGAGACTTTATACATTTCTGAGAGGCTGATTGCCTTAGATATCACCTGTTGCTCCAAATCTGAGCTCAGCCAATAAGAGACTTCAGAAAGGGCAATCTAAAGACATAAGCTAAGCCATTGTCCTGGGATTTTCTATGGGAGCTTCTTATTTTTACTTTTTATTTATAATTATTTTATGTGTGTCAGTCTTTTGCCTGATTGTGTATATGTACACCACATGTGTGCCATCCCCATAGGGGTCAGAAGAGAGCACCAGATCCCCTGGAAGTGTAATGACAGATGGTTGTGAGCCACCATGTGGGTGCTAGGAACTAAACCTGGGTCTTCTGCAAGAGGAGCAAATGTTCTTAAGTGCTAAACTGTAACAGGAGTGGACTGCTTGTCCTCCCGACCACCCGGCTAGCTTACACCTGAAATAATCACACAGAAACTGTATTAATTAAATTACTGCTTGGCCATTTGCTCTAACCTCCCATTGGATAACTCTCACATCTTGATTTAACCCATTTCTATTAAATCTGTGTTCACCACGAGGTCGTGGCTTACCGGGAAAGATCCAGCATGTCTGATTCTGGTGGCTCCATGGCCACTTTCTTCCTCCCAGAATTCAGTTCTGTCTTCCTGCCTACCTAAGTTCTGCCCTATCACCAGGCCCAAAGCAGTTTCTTTAATAACCAATGAAAGCAACACAAAAACAGAAAGACCTCCTTTACCACTGAACCATCTCTCTAATCCCTGTATCTTATTTTTAAAAGTAAATGTTCCTAAATCTTCAAATTTATATATTACCAAATATATAAACAAGATAAATATTTTAATAAAAACATTGACTCCTTTAGTTCTACTACAGTTACTAATAGTTCCTGTCCCATCACATTTATAAATCATACACACATTTCATCTGTTCGGAGCACAAATAACATTGACACAGCTCCCATGGCCACTGTATGTAAAGTTGGAGGGTAATTCTCTCTGTATAAACAACTGCTAGAGTTCAGAGAGGAAAGCATTTTAGTCATCTAACTGAATATCCCCTCTTTTTTTCTCTCTGGCCTTTACAAAACATCCCAGCTTTACTGCCCTTCTGGACACCAGGTGACAAGGAACAGTTAAGGAGGTCATTTTTACCAGTACTTCTGAGAGTACACTGTTAAGTGCAGACAATTGTCAGGATTCTTTTTGAGGTGCTGAAACTTCTTATAACTAACATTCGGTAGAAAGGTGTGGCACTTGGCACCATTCTGTGATTTCTGAGTCAATTTTGAAGACCAGGGCAGGAAGAGAAAAATAATAGCACAATTTGGAAAATGTCACAGGCCTCCCCTTTCCGTGCCCTTGGATACACCAATGGAAGAAGGGAATACCTGCAGTCAAACTGTCCAAATCTCTGGTTTGTACTAGAACCCTAGGTAAGCCTGAGCCATACAGTGTTCATAATTACCATGTCTTAAAGTGGAAAGGATGCCCTGCTACCAAACAGCTCCCCGTGGTTTCTGCCATGTTTTGTTTCGAATTAACATTAACTCTGTTGTCCTCCACTTGGCATTAGCCATGAAGGTTACATATTCCATTAATTTCTCCAGGTTAGTGATACTTTTACAAGAAATCCTTTGATGTCACAAGAACGTTGTTTCCCTTCAAATGCACCTGCTACAGATTTTCAGCAAATACTAGCACAGCACATGGTACGTACCTCAACTTGTATCCTAAGCTCATCATCACTACTGAGGAGCTGCTCCTAAGAGCGGGAGGGAAGGCTGAGAACTGTCTGTAGGGTGCAAGGTTCACACGGGGGTGTCTGCAGAGCAGCAGGAAACACAAGTGTCATGCTGCCGAGAAATTCACCATTCTTGTATGTAGTCATTTCAGAAACAGCAAATAAATACAAATATACGTATTTGCTTATTTTAGTTTAAAAGTAAGAAGATAAAAGATAAGAAGAAATGCTTCCACGGATGCCTGGATGGGACTGGGGAAAGAAGGGCTGAGCCATCAGAGAGAGAAACAAGGTCTCTCTCTGTCAAACCTGTGTGGAGGGCTGGAGAGAAGGCTCAGCAGTTAAAAGCACTGGCTGTTCTTCCAGAGGGCCTGAGTTCTAGTCCCAGCAACCACACGGTGGCAGACAACCATCCATATGGGATCTGGTGCCCTCTTCTGGCATAAAGTTGTACGTGCAGAGAGAGCACTCGTATACATAAAATAAATAAATCTTAAAAAAATAAAACAAAACCTGTGTCTAAACTTGACCTTTTAACCATGTGAATGTTTTATATAATTATTAAATACTATCAAATTAAAATTTTAAAATTTCTCTGTATTTGTGAAATAAGATGTCACTAAAGGGCAAATACTCTATAATTGCATTTACATGAGATACCAAGAATAATTAAATCGCTTGAAATAGAAAGTGCAGTGTAAGCACACAGGATGGAGAAAGGGGAGCAGATGTCAGCTGATGCTGACATATATGTCAGTAAGTTCAGTTCAGGACAAATGAGAAATCTACAGATGGACAGTGATGTCCATTACATAACAGTAAATGCACCAAAGCCACCAAACCACACACTTGAAATAGAAGAAAAGAAGAAGGAGGGGAAGAAGAAGAGGAGGAGGAAGAGGAAGAGGAAGAAGAAGAGGAAGAGGAGGAAGAAGAGGAAGAGGAGGAAGAAGAGGAGGAGGAGGAAGAGGAGGAAGAAGAGGAAGAGGAGGAAGAAGAGGAGGAGGAGGAAGAGGAGGAGGAGGAGGAAGAGGAGGAGGAAGAGGAGGAGGAGGAGCAGTAGCAGCAACAAATAACATCACCACAGGAATCAGTAAACATCTCTCGGTAATGACCTTAACTGTAAGCTGCCTCTGCTTAGACTGCCTAACTAGATTTTAAAACTAGGTCCAGGGGCTGGAGAGATGGCTCAGAGGTTAAGATCACTACCTGTTCTTCCAAGTCCTGAATTCAATTCCCAGCAACCACATGGTTACTCACAGCCATCTATAATGAGATCTGATGCCTTCTTCTGGCAGGCATGCATGCAGAGAAAACACTGTATAGACAGAACATTGTAAATAAATCTTTAAAGAAAAAAACTAGGTCCAGCTGTTGGAGGGAGCCTGCCATTGGTAAAAACTGGACTCTGTCTACCAGCTATGACAAATGTCCCACTCCGTGCAGGATGCTGACAGTAAAAGTGGTGTGCCTGGGGCAGCCAGGGAGTGCCAGGAAGCTGGATTCTACAGTGAACATGAAATGTTTCTAAAAGTAAAGTCTGTGTTTTAAAATAATTAAATAAACCATTTAAAGAAAATCACCCAAGCCGGTGGTGGTGGTGCATGCCTTTAATCCCAGCAGAGGCAGGTGGATCTCTGAGTTCAAGGCCAGCCTGGTCTGCAAGAGCTAGTTCCAGAACAGGCACCAAAGCTACAGAGAAACCCTGTCTCAAAAAAAAAACCCAGAACAGAAAAAAGAAAAAGGAAATCACCCACTGTTGTTGAACGGATTGGTGGGAGTCTCTCCTCATTGCATGTTTTTCTGTTTTGCAAGATTAGAATAGGACAATTTGTGGTTTAGTTGATTCTTTATAAAAATTACTTGTGTCCTTGACAGTAATGTGTTTCTCTAATACAAATTAAGTTTTTGTTCTATTTCTTCTGTGTAGGTGGAATACAATAGAAATCAAAGTGACAACACAGTGTCTTCAGTGAAAAGTCAAGTTATGTTGAGAAACATAGATACAGTTTTAGAAAAAGAAACAGTGACCATCATCAGTGAAGGAGCAGAGGACCCCCGGGCAACTGTAAGTAATTTGCATGAATGTTGACCTCCAGTGCGCAAAACTGGCAATGTTACTGCCCTAGACACAGCTTGGTCAAGGCAAACACAGAGGGCTAGTGTGAGACAATACTTTGTAACCAAAAGGAAAGAAAATGGAGTGCAATAGAAACAGGAAAGAATAATTTCAGGGCCACCGGCTCCCAGGTGAAGGCACTGGCTACCAAGCCTAATCACTGGAGTCCCACATGGAGCAGAGGAAAAGCTGTGAGTCCAGCAAGCGGTCCTGACCCCACACTGACCCTGGGGCAGCAGGTGCACACATCCATGCACATGCATGTACACCAAGTAAGTAAACAACCTTTTAAAAAGAACAATTGAAATGGCTGACGAGATGGCTCAGAGGTTAAGAGCACTGGCTGCTCTTCCAGAGGTCCTGAATTCAATTCCCAGCAACCACATGGTGGCTCATGACCATCTGTAATGAGATCTGGTGCCCTCTTTTGGCCCACAGGGATACATGCAGACAGAATATTGTATATATGATAAATAAATAAATCTTTTTTTTAAAAAAGAACAATTGGATAGTAAATGACATTCAGGGATTATTACTAACTTTCAGGTGTGAAAAGGATGCTGTACTAATGGTTTTAAAGGTCATTTAGAAAGATTCAGACTAAAATGTTGTGGCTGCAATTACATCCTGAGCATTTGCTTCAGGACAACTGGAGAAAGGACTGTAAATGAAGCGAAACTTGTCGCACACTGATAACCACCAGCACTGGTGCTGAGTCTCCACGGGGGCCTCGCCATGTCCTCTGTCAACTTTTATTTATTGGTGGGCACGCACGGTACACAGATGTGTGTGGGGACAGCCTGCCAGAGTCGGTTCTCTCCTTCCACCATGTAGATTCCTGGACTTGTCACCAAGCACGTTCTCAACCACGCATGCCGGCCACAGTGACAGCCTCGCCTCCGAGTGAGCTGTTTTGGTTCTGGCTCCATTCACACTAAAATGACAGCTTGAGCAGTCACAACAGAGGCCATGTGGCTTCATCCTTCATCACGACACCGTTTACAAACAGCAATGCTCCATTTCAAGTTCCGTTGACAAACTAGAGTCAGAAACCACAATGAAGATGGGAAGGAAAGCCTTTGGCCTGGGTCTCGCTCCTGAGCTTTGCCGCTGACTTTCCTGACGCTGGCCCCAGGGAACCATGACTCTGTTTTGTGCTCCCACAGTCTTGAACTGTGACACAAAACTGAGCTCTGTAGTCAGGCTCGGCAGCAAGGCCTTACCTAGGAGCCATCTCATAGGTCCCAGCATTTCCTATTTTATACTGATGAAATTAATGTACCTATCCGTCTACAACCTGGTCTTGTAGTTCAATCCTCTTTCTGAAATAGATCCATTTACCCTCTTCTAAAATACTATTACTTCTTGTACTTTGCTGTCTTGATAAACATTAACATTGATTCTTTTTATTAGCTTACAAAGAATTAGATTTTATTACAGCATTTTTTAAACAAGCTTTGTGCTTATCGGTTCTTCTCTTCCCCATCCTCCCCTCCCTGCTGTCCCCAGAAGCTTCCTCCCACTTCCGTGCCACCCCTTGTCTTTCGCCATTCGGAGCTTTCTGTATTGTGGGCGTTGTGAGCACTACTGTGTTAATACTCCTATAAATATCTACCTTGGACCTTTGGACAAAATCTTTTTTTTTCTTTTTTCTTTCTTTTTTTGGTTTTTTGAGAGAGGGTTTCTCTGTAGCTTTGGAACCTGTCCTGGAACTAAGTCCTGTAGACAAGGTTGGCCTCGAACTCACAGAGATCCACCTGTCTCTGCCTCCCGAGTGCTAGGATTAAAAGTGTGTGCCACCATCACCCAGCTTGACAAAATCTTTCTAGGACAGTGGTCTGAACATTGTTTTTATCATGTTAACTTTACAAAATGTTCTTGAACACTTAGCATGGTGGTGTATGCCTTTGATCGCAGCACTCAGGGGGCAGAGGTTGGCAGATCTCTGTGAATTCAAGGACAGCCAAGGTTCTGTAGAGAGACCCTGTCTTAAAAACAAACAAACAAACAACAAAAAAATGGGGGGCTGGAGAGATGGCTCAGTGGTTAAGAGCACCAGCTGCTCTTCTAGAGGTCCTCTGTTCAATACCCAGCGACCACATGGTGGCTCACAACCATCTGTAATGAGATCTGGTGCCCTCTTCTGGCCTGCAGGCATACACGGAGGCAGAATGTTGTATACATAATAAATAAATAAATAAAGGCACACGCCTTTAATCCCAGCACTAGGGAGGCAGAGGGAAGAGGATCTTTGTGAGTTTGAGGCCAGCCTGGTCTACAAGAGCTAGTTCCAGGACAGGCTCCAAAGCTACAGAGAAACCCCGTCTCAAAACAAAAAAAAAAGTAAATGAATGAATAAAATATTCCTGAGAATACATTTAAATATATGCATAAATAATATATATTATCTTAGAATAATGTCATATATATTATAAAAATATACATAGAAATGGCTTGGAAATGATGGCACACACCTTTAGTCCCAGCACTCAAGAGGCAGAGACAAGCAGTTCTCTGTAAGTTCAAGGTCAGCCTGGTCTATAGCTCAAGTTCCAGGATGGGCTCCAAAAAGCTAGAGAAACCCTGTCTTGAAAAACAAACAAACAAAATATTTATAGATACATATATATATATATATATATGCAGAGAGAAAGAAAAATTAAAACATAATAAAATTAAATAAAATATTAAATAAATTATTAAGAAAATAAGAACTTTTAGTCTCAAAGAAAAATATATTTGATAATGTGATTAATATTATAGCAAATTAAATGTTATTGTTTTTTACAATAAGATAGAAGCATGTAAGTATACATGTATACAATACATCTCATTGTATTGTATGTGTCTATATTCTCTCTTACTTATATTAGTCAGGAACTAGATAGGAGCAGCGATCCCTGAAATACTCATTTCATTCCTAACAGAATGAATACTCAAATGCTTCCCAATCATTTGTTGATTTTATATTCAGATTTTGGTCCAACCCATTTACCAGTTTATGAGCGCGACTTTGTGTTCTGGTTCACTTGCTAGGTCTCGCGTCCCAGCTCGGTGTTCTCAAATGCCCTCTCTACACTGATAAGGTTTTGTTCTTTAATATGATAAAATACTATTTGGATTCAATGTGTTTGGCTGGATGCCTTGCAAGACTCAATATTACGTAATTGTGTGGTTATTGTGTTCAAAGATTACAACTAACCATCGATACACACTATTTACAAAATGCCATGTGGTGTACTTCCATATTTATTTGGTCTGCACTGTTCCCATGGGTAGGTTTATTATTCATTCCTACCCTTGTTTGTTTGTTTGTTTGTTGTTTCTCTGTAATTTTGGAGCCTGTCTTGGAACTAACTCTTGTAGACCAGGCAGGCCTTGAACTCACAGAGATCCACCTGCTTCTGCCTCCCAAGTGTTGAGATTAAAGATGTGTATAGCCACTGCCCAGCTCACTCCTACCCTTTTGTGACTGTAACTAGCTGAAAGCAAATGGTTTGCTACTTGAAGCCTAATACTTAATCAGATATCTACCAGGTCAGAATTCTTTTAATTAGTTATCTGTATGTGTATGTACATGTTTGTGCACACAAAGAAGCCAGAAGAGGCCACCAACTGTCTTCCTCTGTCACCTCTCCCCTAGTCCTTTGAGGCAGGGTCTCTCCCTGAACCTGGGGCTCACTTTTTCTCAGGTAGGCTAGAAGCCAGCAAGCCCCAGTCATCCTATCCTGACCCCAGTCCTCTCAGAGCTGGAGTGACAAGGGTGTGCCGGGCATGGGCAATGGGAGTCCTCATGATCGTGGGACACCCAAATGCTCCTAACTACTGAAGCATTTCTCCAGTGTCCAGAATATCATTCTCAAATAAAGGTAAAATGCACTTAGTATAAAATTAGCGCTTTGAAAGTATACAGGAAAATGACAGTACATTTATAGTGCTGTATACCCTCACTTCTGTATAGTTTCAAAACATTTTCACCTCCCCTAAAAGGAAACCTTACCAAATAGTCACTGCCCAGACCATAGGAGACTGCATTCTCTCAGCTCACCTGTTGTGAACATCCC